TTTTGGAAGAAAATGTATACTGGCTGAGTAATGAGCATAGAAAGACAAGGAAATCAAGGTAGTACTAGCCCCGACACCATGTGTGTTGTCCCATATATAGCTTTCTGTGTACAGTGCTTGTTACTTTACCAAGACTCGGTTAAATTTATTATGATTTTGATGACTCCATAACCTTGCAGTGCACACCAATACTTACATGCTACATGATCAACTGTTTCTGATCCTTTCCACACCTTTTCTTTCACAATGCAACCGCATTACCAGTACTAAAGTTTATCTTTAACCGAAATAGAATTCAAACATAAATGGATTATCATGGAAAACAAACTTAGCATAGGCCTACATCGTGAGACGCATTTATGCAAATAAGAGAAGCAGCAATCATAATGAAAACAATTATATCAGTAGACACTCGCTGAACCCAAAAGAGTGGTTTCATTACACATTGTTATAATCAAAGTATTATTTCAAAACAAATCATCAGATTGTCAACAAAAGTAAACCAGAGTGAACAGTGAACCATGTGAATCGAATTCAATTCATCAAAAAAATAACAGCAAATTACATCGACTCCAATTGTACATATCAAAGTAGACCAGCAAATCATAACAAAGGGTCAATTTCCTGTTTTCCCAAAATAAATTGATTTCCTTTTACAGGATGCGCGTTTCTAGTGGAAAACACATTGTATGTACATTTACAGTTTACATTCTTACAAGTATTAGGGACTTTAAGATTTGCGTGGACTGATACGTGTGGCGTCCATTCAATGCAGTGCATTAAAAGGACGTCGATCGTAGCAATCTCCGTTTTCGTTGTGCATATCTAAAAGTCCCTGATAGCAGTATTAGACCATGGAATGGAGTTCACAGTCTGAAATGGCCGCATCCCCTGAAACGCATTCTTTAATTAAGTTTTTCTGTTAGTTAGGACCCATAGCTATCAGAATGTTCTTGTGTGGCCTAAATTGGTGGTGGGTGTGATATGACCAGAAGGGCTATAACCATCGTAGCGTATCAAGAACATGAATTTAGAAATTTTAAAAATGTCATTTTTTGTGTAGGCCTATCTATGAAATTTAAGTACACGTTTTAAGCATGTCAATATAACGTGTCAAAAGCATCTCACATGAGTACAACCCAACTGCGACTTCCAACTTGTGTTGGTCATCTTTTAAAATGGCCGTCGCAGCTATAGAATCGGTTAGAAAAAAAGCTTGATATTTGTATAGGTATAAAAATATTAAATTAAAGTGATAGATTTTTTTGAAAGAAGTTTTCTGTGTGCAATAAAGTAAGTGATGAACATGGTCCTTGGGGAGTAACCATGATAACAAATTAATGAATATTGGAAATTTAAGTCTCGGTCACAATTGCCATTACGAACTGCTACGAACGTCGTACGAACGACTTTCAGACAATGGAAATTCAGGAAGACAATGGAAAAACAAGGAGATTCGTACGAACCTTTGTGACCGTAGCATTAGTTGTAAGACTGTTTTTCGTATTATGCTACGGTCACAAAGGTTCGTACGAACGATAATTTCGTACGAATCTCCTTGTTTTTCCATTTTCTTCCCGAATTTCCATTGTCTGAAAATTGTTCGTACGGCGTTCGTAGCAGTTCGTTATGGCATTTTTGACCGAGGCTTTACATATATTTATGTAATTTGTATACTCATTTACTGTAAGCGCTGTGGGTCTTCTGGGTAAAGGCGCGGTAGGTTCAAGGAGCGACTGAGCTCGGTCTTCACTTCAATGTTTCAAGGTTCAAGTTGAGACATGGTCCAAGCTTTCAAAAGTTCATTTTTATAGATATGACGCACTGATGTCAATTTCACGTTTTTTGGAAGCCATGAAAAGGAACTTCTGAAAATGTACCATTATGTATATCTAAGAAAGCGATTTTGATTATAGAGTTGTATACATCATAAATAAAATGGATTTTTTTGTTTGTTGCTATTTTCGGAAATCTTTGCGCTGTAAATAAATCTTCGTAAAGACCAGTTTTGGAAACGCCCCCCCCCCCCCCTCTCAAAAAATGAAATGGAAGCTCTTATTACCAATTCTGTGAAAGAATATGTTGACTTATATGTGATAATACAAATTTTGCCGGGAAACCGCCTACTAATTGATATTTTGGGTAAATTTTTGTATCTATCTGGACTGGATAGATATCGCGCACGTGTCGCGTAGTCCCATATACATCTTTCTGTGTACAGTGCATGTAACTTTACCAAGACTGGGCCAAATTTCCTATCATTTTGATGATTCCAGAACCTTACAGTACACACCAATGCTTATATGGTAGATGTTCAACCTTTTCTGATCGATTCCACAACGTTTCTTTCACAATGCAATCGCATGGCCAGAACTGGTCTATACCTTTAATGCAAACACAACGTTCGGTTTCATGAGTTCTCATAAAATGACCCCCCCCCCCCCCCCCCCCAAAAAAAAAAAAAAAAAAAAAAAAAAAGAAGAGAGAAATGAAATGCAAATACAATATTTTGGTGCTGAGGGAATAACATGGTTAGAACAAATCACTGTGATATAGAGAGAATAGTAGAAGGTTGGATGAAATTACAAAGAGAGAAATAGGAAAGTTAGGGAAGTGAAAAGGAGTTTGAAATCATATTAATACTTATTTCAAGTTGTTTTCAAAACCATGCAAGCCTATTAACATAATCCCACAGTCCTTCTGTTTAAAGTTTCACTGAAAGAGGAAGAGTTTCGAGTAAAACCAAGGATTTATCACAAAGCAAATCGGTTTACGATTAATACGGATGTCACTTTCATTTCCATTGTTTTGGTTTACTTTTAAAGCTCGTTTGTTTTCAAGAGAGGAAGCGAGTTTGACAAATGATAATGGACTAAACCAACTTACTTTCGAGATTTAAAGAGGGTTATCTATTTATGATCTTGAGTATTCTTGACCGACTAGTTTCAGATACTGCTTATGCTTTTCAAACGTCCTTCTCCCTATACTCTTTCTATCCGCAAAATACATTTATAGATGACTGCAATAATAAATACATACCATTGAAGGAAAGACGGTATTTTCCTGTACTGTGAAATTAGCAGATTGGTCCTCTCGGCTTGTATGTTCCAGCTTATTTTTGTTGTCTAAAATGACGCCGATATAACAATAATCATCTTCTTTTTTTTGTTTAGTCCACTCCAAATTTGATTAAACCGAAACGGAAATTCTTTTGATCGTTAGCCCGGCAGCCACTGACCAGCGCCAGATCAAGTTTGCTCTATCCCATATTGTTGAATGCCAAAAAAGCTAGCAACAACTCCCATCTTTTAACGTCTTTTGGTATGACGCGGCCGGGGTTCGAACCCACGACCGGTTGTGAGGCGGACGCTTTACTGACTGAGCCAACACTTAGGTCCATGCTATGAACCTGCTCGTTTGGACATAATGTTGGTGGTGGATGTGACCATCATGGCCATTGCCAATTTGAATTTAAAAAATCATAATAAGTCACATGAAGTTCATAAAGACACGATTTGCAATTGAACATGTATTTCTGCTTACCTAGGTTTTAATATTTTAACATATTTAAAGATAAACTTGAGTTCTGGTAAAATAAGAAAATTATTTCTCACAGAATCAAACGAAACTTACACTGAATGTTCAAGATTACAAATAAATGACATGTGCCAAACAATTTTGGAAGAAAATGTGTACTGGCTGAGTAATGAGCATAGAAAGATAAGGAAATCAAGATAGTACTAGACCCGACACCATTTGTGTAGTCCCATACATCTTTCTGTGTACAGTGCTTGTTACTTTACCAGGAAAGGGCCAAATTTATTATGATTTTGATGACTCCAGAACCTTGCAGTGCACACCGATACTTACATACTACATGATCAACTGTTTCTGATCCATTCCACATCGTTTTTTCCACAATGCAATCGCATTACCAGAACTCACCTTTATCTTTAATGGCATAGCAAACATACTGTCGATTCATTTACTATAAAGAAAACCAGTTAATATGGAAACACTGTTGAAACACAATATACCAGGGATGGTGGAGCATCTTTAAAGAGTGGGGGCCGGGGGGGGGGGGTACCCGAGAACAAAAAGAGACCCACAAGGTTTTGACGCACTCCACAATAATTGAATGTTTTTGTTTACATGAATGTGAATAAGCGAAATGAGAGATTGATGTACATCAATCTCTCATTTTGCTGTAGATGGGTTGTAGCTGGAATTATGGGGGTGTAAAGGGGAATGGTCAGATAGTGAGAAAGAGGTTGTGATCATGAAGCTACATGTAGCTGCATGATATGTATAATACAGGCAATATTTAGTGATGGTCTGATCATGTGGTATAATTAAGTATGAAAATCGTGCAGATCGCGTGGTTAGGTGGAGTGTGTCCAGGCTTCGGTGGCCCTTGACAGGACGATTTTTTCTCTCTGTGGCTTCGTTATGCGGTATATAGTATGTTAATAATTTCTTGTGTTTCTTGTCACTTTTTTATTTTTTATTTTTTATTCTTTATATATATATCTTGTTTGTTGTTTGCCAATCATTATTGATGACCTGTAAATATTTTGATATTAGTTTCGATTTAATAAGACATGCAACAACAACAACAACAACAAAGAGACCCACAAAGTATGACGCAAAACAGGGGTAAAATACGTTTAGAGATATTGAGACCCCAACATTCTAGTTAATACGTAATATCAAGGATCATCTGCGACATTGTTTCAATCTTTACATGGACCTGGATGTCCCTTTCAAAAATATTATTTTGTATGCATTAACCCTGTCGTTTTTCATACTGTCTCTGCAATAGTTTTCGTTTAATTTGTGAATTCACGTTGCACCGTACTTAATGTGTGGTTTTCAGCACAATCCCATCCTTGATATAATCTGCTTGAATTCATAATTACATATATATATATATTTGTTTGAAAGAATGTGTTTGAAATACATAACAGTTTTCTTCTCCTTCCATTTCTTTCTCTGTGCAGGTAAAATGAGTGAGAATTGCAGTGCTGTGAGATGATTGTAAAACCAGAAATAGCATTAAATGAAACACCAAAACAACATTAAGAAGATGGATAAAAGGTGTCTTTTCCGAAGGTCTCCTCGAGGGGTAATGATTTGGGGGGCTTGGCTGACCGTCACATTCGTATTAACTAGCTCCTACTTCATGGCTGACAAAACAAGCAAGCTACATCGGTATACTCTGGAGAAAATACCTTTGAGAAAACAAAGCGAAGAAGCAGTCACAAGGGCATCACCCCAGTATCCCCTCACTGATCCACACGGCCCGCCCTCTGCGGGCACCCAAGGGACAAAGGTGGAGAGTCGTCCAGAATTCTATAACCGATACTGGCCGGTAAATTGTAGTGCAGTCTTTGAGGAAGATGTACAGGAGATAGCACGTGTGGATGCTATGCTAAAGAAGGAGAGGCAGAAGTCAAAGAAGGGTGAAATCGACATTGCGTCAGATACTTTGGTCGCAAACTTTACCCAAAATTGCGAAAATTATAGGACAATCCGAGGTTTCCCAACAAAAGTACTAAGTAAGGAGGAAGAGGAGTTCCCGCTTGCGTTTATTATCCTTACCCACAAGAATGCTGCACAGGTGGAACTGCTTTTCCGTGCTATTTACCAACCCCATAATGTATATGCCTTCCATCCGGATGGCAACTCGCCACCAGAATTTCAAAGAGCTATAAGAAACATGGCAAGTTGCTTTGACAATGTGTTCGTTTGTTCCAAATTAGAAAAGGTACAGTATGCCGGTTTCACGCGCCTCCTTGCAGATATCAACTGCATGCACGACCTGGTCAATCATTCTGTGCAGTGGAAGTATGTCATCAACCAGTGCGGGGAAGCATTTCCACTGAAGACCAATCTGGAGATGGTCAAGATGATCAAGGCTTACCACGGCCGCGTGGATGCTGAATCATACGACGCACCCCACAAACTATCCAGGTTTCACAAGCTCTCCTCCAGATACACCTCCTTTACCAAAACTGAAGACAGACTGAATCGCTACCCGCCACCCGGAAACATCACGCTGCACTCTGGGAATGCCTACAACACTCTCAGCAGAGAGTTTGTCGACTACGTTTTAACGGACAAGGAAGCTGTTCAATTCCTGAGCTGGATCAACATGACGCATTCCCCCGATGAGCACTTCTGGGCGAGCCTCCGTCGCTACCACAATGCACCCGGATCATATCCTAACATCACGCACAAGGATATCAACACCAGCTTCGTCAAATGGGGCGGGGAGAAGGCGAGTAAAGAATGCGTCGGCAAGTATGTCAGAGGCATCTGTGTAATATCCACAGGATACCTACCCTATGTGTCCCGCGTGCCCAACCTATTTGTCAACAAAATACATTACTCTTATGATCCAGTCACGCTACAGTGCATGCAAGAACTGCTGACGAACAGAACTAGGAATCCACAGCTCACGCTTCAATATTACAAAGAATTCCCGCCCAAACGTGCTTGGTACTGGTACTAAATGGGGAGGAAGAAAAAAAGGTATTCACAATATTTTGGCACTCATCAGGAATACGTTTAGTCCTATGATATTTTATTTTGCCTTCGTAAACATGCGCATTCCAGCCTGAGGGCAAAATTTTTGTTCGTCAAATTTCAATAATGTACTCTGTACTCTGTACATTTAAAATCATTTAAAGACAGTCAGAAAGATATATATATATATATATAGAGAGAGAGAGAGAGAGATAGAGATAGAGAGAGAGAGAGAGAAAGTGAGGGAGAGAGAGAGAGAGAGAGAGGGGGGGGGGTTACATTCATGATGAATGTGGATGTTTGTGCTTGGTTTGCGGGCACTCGTAAAGGAAACTAATTACAATTTTGTCGAGGCAATAATTACAATTAAATCATCATAATAATTATGTAGTATGTCAATGGAAAAGAAAGCACAATGTTTGACACTACCTGATTTTATCTGATGTTTAATCTGAATACAATTGTATCTCAGATAATGTTGTTTGTACTTTTTGTGGATCAGTATCTGTAGCGGTTCTAGATTGATTTGTCTTGATAATGAATTTAGGCGAGGCACATGACTTTGTAAAAATAAATGCAAGAACCCCCTAAGCTAGTGGCAGATGAAAGGGGGAGGGGGGGGGGGGGGTATCATCGTATTACCTTTAGAAACATGAGCCATATACATTCATTCATTTCACAACTCAAGGATGTTGAGGTGGTGACTTTTTCTTTCGTAAAAAGACACCAAAACATGTGATGACCCTTTTTCGTGATCACACTCTTTCAAAATACTGGACCCACCCCAAGTTCTCCCTCACGGTCACCCCCCCCCCCCCCACATCCAACCTCCCCACACACAAACAAAATCTAGAACCTCGCCTGATCAGTACGTCCATCTAAATGTAGTATTAGCTGCTTGCTTTAGCAGAGTCGTATTAAGGTTCTGTAGGCCTACATAATATCCGTCGAGTAATGTGACTTCCGACTTTCAGTTGATGACGCATTGCCATACTGCACTGAGTTTGTGTCTAGTGCGAACATTTTTGAGGAAGGTAATGCATAATTTGGTCACCGTGGTGACAGAGATGACGTTTAAATACATGTCTTGGGATTGTAAGGTCGTGGGTTCGAGTCCCTTGCAGGACGGTAAGAAAGCCCGTTGCCAAGATGTTATTTGCATTTGTCAAGCTGACAATAGAGGTGGCGTAGCCGAGTGGTTTAAACACAAAGGTCGGGGGTTTGAAACCCGCTATGGTGAGAATATCTGTTAGCAAGATTTTGTTCTGCATTTGCCACTTAAGACCGAGTTGTATCAAGGTGCGTTGTTAACAATTATGCTGATTTAAGGGCGCGTTCATGCTTGATTTTGAAGGTAGAATAAGCGATCTGAAACGCTCATCGTAAACGCTCATCGTAATCGCAGTTCCACAGTGTACTGTTCATGCTTACTTCTCTGGCTCATCGAGGCAATTCTCCGTGTGTGGCCTTAATTGGTCTTCCAGCTGGATTCGCAAACCTTCACTGTGCATGCTACGTAGACCCAATAGAGGTCAGTGCGTTGACCCCGTTTAAACGCGTTTACAAATTATAAACGCATCTTTTTGTGAGTTTACGATCGGCGATCGTGATCGCCGTTTTTCGGTGATTCTACAAAAGTAAGCATGAACGCAACCGTGTTCTAAACTAAACGCGTAACAGATGCCTGATTCTGGCCAGAAAATGAAGCATGAACATGCCCTTAGTCAGGTCAAGCGACACATACCGGAGACTACAGATTTCGGTGTTCATAGCAATCACTGAATTCCTTCCTACCGGTACCCATTTAGTACCTGGGTGGAGAGTGGCAAATGTAGATAAATGTCTTGCCAAAGGACGGTAGTGCCGTACGTAGCGGGACACGAACCGCGAACCATGTGAAAAATGGCCGACAGGCTGGAATAATCCCTAGTTAAAAATGTTCAATAGGTATATGTTTTTAAGGACAAAAAACAAGAGTCCTATCTCGCACCCCGGGGCAACGTGTCTGACACGGCCGGTTGTAGCAACTACTCCGAAGATCAAGATAATCTTGATCTAAGGACAAAGTGCAATCACATAATGTAGGTTTGAAATAAAAGGAAGTTGATGATGTTGGTATGGTTATTTCTAGTCTGTTTTGTCCCATCCAGCAATCAAGATATTCATTACGCTCAAGGTCAGACCCTCTTCTTCTGCAAATCCCCCGCATCAATTTGAAGAAGGGTAAAAAAAAAAAAAAAAAAAAAAATTCTGGTCCCACTATTTGGAATAGTCTCCCATTAAGCATTAGTTCCTGCACCTCAGTCGCATCATTTAAGAGAAATGTAAAAACTCATTTGTTTTCTCTGTAATTGTTATTTTTAGAGTGTAATGCACTTGGAGAGCATATAATTATTCTGTTGTTATTTACTAATGTAAAGCGCTTTGAGCATGTTTATGTAAAGGCGCTATATATGTTATTAGTATCTTTTTATGATCTGAATCGGTACTCTGGCTATGTGTATTTGTATGTATTAGTGGTCGCATCGTTTTACAATTTCTCTGTGGCAAAAACTATAAGAAAACACTGAGCACTGTACATCTTCCTTGTCAATCACTTTCTGAAGCACCCTAAACGCAGATAGCAGTCAAGAGTAGTTTTGATACCCTTTACAGGGCCCTTCTAAAATCTCGCATTTTTATATTTTGCATGATATTTTACCCCCTATTCGAGCACTGCTTCTTCTTCGACTTTTTCCAGCGTTTCTTTTCTCTTATCCCCGATTGTATCTATCTTGTTATAGATTTCGGTTATATTTAAATCTTATTTGGCAGGGTATTTATGATATATGTAGCTTTACTGTGCCTGGAACTAAGGAACGGGGCGGAACAAGGTCTATCCAGCGAAAGAGGCTGATGTCAGACAAATAAGTCGTCGTCAGGATACTCCAGGAACAGGAGATGTCCAAACTAAAGACATAGCTAAGGATCTACACTAATCAGTGAATTGTATCAATCTTCTATTTAAGTCTCATATGTTTGTAATTAATTTACTTATTTTCTTGTTAACCTTGTTTAGAATGGTTTAAATTAATAAAGGTTTATTCGACCTAATTATTGTTGTGAATTAGTTTTCTGTTTGCAAGGTTACTGTAAGAGTTAAAAATAGACTCATTCCCTACTTTTATTTGTCACAATTACTATTTGTTTCTCTATTCTTCTACCCATACATGTTCATTTCACTCATTTGCATATTCATTTCATCCATTCATCTCCACCATTCATCTCCACCACATACCAACTCTTCAAGCTAGAACAGGTGGTATGTTCTCTTCTCATTTGCATATTTCCACTTCTTACTTATCATTGGTTCTCTTCTCCTTTTCCTTATGAATATTCAGTTTTATTCTTAAATCCTATTTTGCTATTGGTTGAGGATGTATTTGATTTGAATATGCTTTGCATGAAGCACATGAGCAGCATGCTAGATACTTTGCAATAAACACATGCAGACTGGCACTGGACTTACTCTGAGTGAGGTGTGTTGATTTAGGTCTCGGTTATTAATATATTAAGTTGGCGATTTAGGAGAGAGCATCTGAGTGGGTTTTAGCAGTGGTTTTTGTATGATTGGTCTTATGATTGATTGGCAAGAGGTTATTGTATTAGTTTAAGTCTCATATGTTTGTAATTCATTTACTTGTTTTCTTAACCTTGTTTAGAAGGGTTTAAATTAATAAAGGTTTATTCGACCTAATTATTCTTGTGAATTATTTTCTGTTTGCAAGGTTACCAATTTTAGTGGCAGTGCCTTATGCCTCCGTCACACCCTTGCGTATTTGGCTTGCGTATTGTTGCGTATTTATGGCAAGCCGTTCTAACATCTATTCCTATTTCTTTGTTTAAGCAATGGTAATTCTTGATATCAAGTAATAGAAATAAATGTTGAAACGGCTCGTCATAAATACGCAGCAATACGCAAGCCAAATACGCAAAAGGTGTGACTGAGGCATGTAATAGCAGAAGATCCCACCCGCAAGGTGTTGTTCGATTCCCGCCTTGTGACAGGAAGAATGACCATGTTACACGAGACGAGTGTCTGTTGAAATCCTGGTAGTATATTTATAAATATCTTTGTTCCTCTGAAACATATTACCAAACAATTCTGGTACGAGCTCACGATAATATGATCACATATACAAAAAAAAAACACAGTTAAAGATCGTGTACTAAAGAAATTGGAAGAAATCTTCAACTATAGGAATAAAAGTCTGCTCGGACTGGAAAATAGCTTGCGGCAAATCATACGAACTGCTCTCTTTTGAAGGAGGAAACACGACCAATTAAATGTCAATGTTGTTAGGCTCCCTCTAATGAAATATTATGTATACATGCATGTTTATGATAAATAATGTACATGTGACCCCCCCCCTTCATATTTTATATTTTAAATTGAAGTCCTATGCATGTGTGTGTGAGTCTATTTGTGAGGGTGTGTGCGTTTGTGTGTGAAAATGTTTGTAGTCTTGTTTGTTTATTTTAAATCTTTAAATGTTTTTTTCACTTTTTCTTCTTTCGAGATACCATATTACAAGCATTTTGCTTTTCGGTGTTCCTAACCATAATTTTATTTACTGTTTTAAATTGATACACTGTTATTGTTTTCATTTGATGTTATTTCATGGTTGAATCAATAAATACAAATGCAAAAAACAGATACATGTTTGGCAACCTACGGCAATTCATATGTAACAATGAAAATGCGTCGCTTTTGTTAAAATTTTGATTTTAAGATTGTTCAGGATCTATATACATAGAGCCATTCTCTAATTCCTCCAGCAAGATGTAACTAACATCATCCATGGCGAAAGGAGGGATACAAATTATCATTGGAACATAGTTGAAAGAAGGAAAAGATATCAACAGCGCGGGGAAATGTGATAATCATTTGTGATTATTGAAATATACATCTTATTGTAAGGAAATATTGTAAATGATAAGAGTCTAGAACGACTAGAAGTAGAAAAGTGCATTGTTTCAGCCGGGTAATTAGATCTACTTCTGAAGAGGTGCCAATTGAAGTTGAATTTCCACCTGTCGCATTTAATTGAGCATAGATCCTGCCACTGATGTTTTGACCAAACTGGACACCCCGTACGTGGTTTATCATACAATTGTGCATTGATGTCAAATAAATTTCCTAAGAATTGAGAAGAAATTTCTCGGATTTTCTCGAAATGAAGAATTTTATAGAGTGTGAAATTGATCAGTATCATTTCATGTCAGAGATAGAAATTCCTTCATGCCGAGGAATATCCCGTTTGGTCAAAACCTTTTAGCTACTTGTTGTCATAAATTTTGAATCAGAAGGGCATTTGAAGAGCGATTCTTTAAAGGCCCACTGCACTACTTGTAGCTACTTGCGCCCTCTATATAAAAACAATGCCTAATCGGTGACCATTGGTCCCCCATGATCCTCTTTTTCTTATGTTAACTGAGAGCTGAGTTGATGACCTTGCAGGCCGGTGTAATCCCTCCTGTAAACTATGGCAGATAAGCTTTAAAGGTGATATTCTAATAAAATCATTCTTCCGAGTTAATACATATACAAAAAAAATGAGCAAACTCCCAATTTGTTCATCTCAGCCACTGCTGAACTTTCTCTTCACAAATAACCCTTTTGCATGAATTAGCATGGCGGGAACTGTATTAAAGATGAAGTTGAGTTCTGGTCGATCATGCGATTGCATTGTGAAAGAAACGGTGTGAAATCGACCATCTAGCATATAAGAATTTGTGTGTATTGCAAGGTTCTGGAATCATCAAAATGATAAGAAATTTGGCCAAGTCTTGGTCAAGTTACAAACACTGTACACAGAAAGATGTATATGGGACTACACGAACACGTGGAGTAAAAACCTACCCCCGAGTTTTACGAGTTACATGACATATTTAGAATATAAAGGCATTTGAAGAGCCATGCTTTTCAGGGAACATGTCTTATCTGATGTTCTTCCACACTTGCATAATAAGAATGATAACGCTCACAAATTATTTTTAACCTCAAGTTCCCAGAACTCAACCTTCTTTTTAAGTTGTCACAGGCGTACAGCAAAGTGTGTCGCTGAATGTCATTTTAATTGGTTTCTAATGAGAAATGCCGCCTCCATAAGTGTATCAGATTTCTTTGCCAAGTCAAATGACTTCTGGGAAAAAAGCTTGAGCTGAGCGTTTTGGGCATGCGCAGTTACGTAATGCTGAGCTGATGACGACGAATCCGTTAACATCATAAAAATCGCTTTGTAAATCGTGTGCATTTGAGATTCATTGCATAATGTATAACATCCACTGTTACAAAGAATGGACAAACAATCGCCAGAGATTATGTGACAAATAATTTTGGAAAACCTAGTTCTTTTTGTTATAGCTGTCTGCAGATATAGTGATGGCTTTGTTTGCCTTGTGCACGGAGATGATCTTGCATATTACCCAAAACAGCTCCTATTTCTGCCAAAATTAAACCACCATTATGTGCCTTAAAGACTGAAATTTGGCAGTGGTCTTGACAGCATATCGTGAAATAAATCATCTGTTAAAGACCATTGTCGCCAGTGAAAAAAAATGGAATAGTTGAATTACCATCATCAACGGAAAACTTATAATTTAGTGTCTGTCAGGGGAGTAACAGTTCTCCTTAGTTAGCCTGAACATGCAGTGACATTATTTTTGTTGATTTTCATGTAATCCATTTCATTTCAAATTTAACGTCACATAGGAGTATCAATTATCATCATATATAATCATCATGAAACAAAAACTTTGACGTGAAAAGAACACAAGTCATGTCTAACATATATTGAAGAAAAAAACCCAACCATACGACCACTCGTTTATTACTAATCATAACAGCTTACATAGGATTACAAGAGACAAGCAGATATATGGCATAAAAAAAATATGAGCGTTTCCTCTTTCTTGCAGTGACGTTGGGATGACGACCAGTTATTACACATCATGATAGTTTGTGTAACGTGTACAGTGTATAGTCCGCATACGAGTACAGTCAGCGAGTACACTTGTTGTAAATGCATTGAGACGAGAAGTCTCGATGGTCATAGTAGAAAGGGGGTAGGAGGGGGCAATGTTGTAATAAGTAACGGAAGTGATTGTCTCCAAGGTTTCCCCCAGCAGCGGCGTAGCTACAGGGATTGCATGGGGCACGCGCAATCCACGCCCCCCCCCCCAACACAAACACCCACGACATTAATGTCACTTCATCTTTTTATAGGAAAAGAGTAGTCATGTAAAGGGAAAGTGTGATCCAATCGTCATAAATCCTCATGCACTCTTTGGCTTTATTCGTGTATGCGAAAGAGTTCTATATCCGCACCCGAGTCGAGGCTGTATGCATCTATCATACTCCTACGAAGCTGTCAGGTAGAGTACGATATGCCTAGTTGCATAAACAGACTCGATGAGCTGGAGAGATCGCTTAAAACATTGTTATTTGATGTAAACGAAACGCATTTCAAGATTGTTTCATATCAATATCGCTGATTAGTTTGATAGGCTTTCTTTTAGTCGGGTCAATTAATGGAAAAAAGGGCACCCCAACCTCCAAAAAATTGCAACAAAAGGTTTTGGAACGGTTTAAGGTAATATTTGACATCAGGAACAACATAATCAAAATATATTTAAAAATCGGATCACGATAACGCAGATAGCCACCGGAACCTGAAATTAGCCATAAATCGTGATATATCTATCTTAAAGATGTAATTCTAGTGTCTCACTTAGGTTTCCGGGGAGACGAATCCATTTAGTGCCACCAGGAAACCAGGAAATCAAAAATGGAGTAGAAATTGGCAGCCAGCATCCCAACATAACCAGATTTTGGTTATTATTTACATTAAAGAGTGTTGAAGTGTAAAAGCGTAAAAGTACATTTCAAGGGGAAGAATATTCATTGATGAACGAAACAGTTTCAAGAAAAAGCACAAGGTTAGCGTGGCCTTCTATGGAACATTGTATCCAAGATGGCTGCCATTGTGCCATTCAAATTAGCTACCAACACCTAATATTGGCCATGAATTATTAGGTATCCCTCCTATGGACTTAGTGTCTTTACCTTGGTTCGAGATTTTAAAAATATTCGAACTAGATCTAGTTAAGATGTCTTTTGGTGGGCAGGAAACCTGAACAGATTTAACCAAGTTGGTATTAAAAAATGGCCGCTAAATTTAAATCAGTAATAGAAGCGAGCTATATTTTTCTTACAATGAGGATATCATTATTTGTTAGATGTATTAAGTGTATTGTATTGGTAAAGGTATAAACTTGTAAGTGTTATTAAGAGATTTGGTAACAATGCGGCATTGGTGCCATTTAATATCCTATCATAAGCCATAATTGCTTGGTCTGTATATTGACCTGGATTGAAGGTTTTGCATATATATATATATATATATATAATAAAGAGCATACAAAATCTGAAACGATCTCAAACCAATGCTTGCTACGTAACCCTTTTTTTTCTAGTATCATTTGGCTATCTAGATAAAAAAAAATTGTTAGATAACTTTATTTTGCACTTTCCATATACCTGAAATTATCTCAAAGATATTCCTATACTGTAAATTTCTTACATTTTCGGGTAACAAGACAGGATTTTTTTTTATCCCAAAGTCTCCATTTCTTCACCAATGTTCTGTGGAAAATTTCGTGGTAGGTAATTTTGAATACGTCTATTAAAGTGAA